GGTGCGTTCTCCCCAGCCTGCCCCTCAGCACTGTGCTGGCTGGGAAGGAACTTGGCTTCCCCTCCTGGGCCTCAGTTTCCCTGTTGTGAAGGCCCACAGAGGGGACGCAGACCACCAGCCACGCGGCAGGGTGGCCTCGCCATCCAGCATTACAGAGCCTCCCCCTTGTCTTCTGCAGAGAAATCGCTGCAGACCAAGAGGAAGAAGCCCCCACCCCAGGACAGAGGGGACCCGGGGTCGCCCACCGATGACAACCCCGCCCCCATGGACCCTGTGTCAGGATCGCCCAGGTGCCGGGGCCCCCAGCTTGCCACCTGGCGCTGCCTGGCCCCACATGGGTGCGGGGTGGGCTGGAAGGAGGGAGGCAGCGACTGGCAGGGTTAGGAGGGTGACCGGGGAGGCACCTGCCCTGACCCCTGGCCTCGGTTGCTCCCCGCTTCCAGCAGCGAGGCCAGGGTCTATCTGCTTGGCAGTCTCGTCACCACTGCCAAGGTCCTGTGGCCGCCTGTCGCTGCTGCTCCTCTCTGCCCTCAGGTGGCTAAGTTCAGACAGAGGGGCCGGGTCCCCAGGCCTTCACCTCTCACTGCCGCCTTCTGTGTCCTGAGCAGCAAATGGCAGAGTCAACAGCAAAGCGACGCAGGCGACGGGGGCAGCGCTGGGAAGGTGTTGAAGAAAAGAAGCAACCTGTAGCTGGGGACCAGGCGCAGGCGACGGTAGACAGGGCTGGGCGTGGCCGCGTGGTGTGAGGATGGGAGCCTGTGGTGGCGAGAGAGTCCCCAGAAAGAGTGCTGAGGACAGCGCTCCGAGGGCGGGGGCCATCGGGAGCTGCTGTTGGCACCCTCTCTCCGCGGCCCCATGGGGTCTCGGCATCTCTGTCTGTCGCCTCCATCCCAACTCTGGGCCCCACTACACCCCACACCTTGGCCCAGGCGTCACCTCGGCACCGGGGCTCCCTTCGGGCCTCGAGAACAGGCACGGAGCTCCGGCACCAACCAGCAGCCCCAGGGAGAAGGGACCGAGGTCACCGGCTTCACCCCTCAGCCGCACATGCGCCACAGCCTGGGGGCACAGCTGGCAGTGTGGACACAGCGACGGGACTCCTTCTTTGGGGTGTGAAGGCGCTGGTGCAAGATGGGGTCCCTCACGCCAGACCCCAAAGGAGTGCAGCCTCAGGTCGTGAGGGGTGTGGGGCACAGACACCCGCAGAGGTGAGGACGGCTCCCTGGCGACACCTCGGGCACTGAGGGACTCTGCTTTCAAACGGCTTGCGGGACCCTGGCCCCTTGGGTCTGCCTGGGATCTGTCCCAACATGCGTCCCTGCTCGCTCCTGAATGAAGCAGGCATTTTAAAACTCATGTTACTGTATGTTGGCGATACATGAATACATGACTTTCTCTTTTACTTTTTTGGTATCGGGGATCAAACTTGGGGCCTTGCGCTTGCAAGGCAGGCGGCAGCACCACTGAGCTAAACCCCCGGCCCTACGTGACTGCTTTTTTTTTGGTACTGGGGATTGAACTCAGGCCCTTGTGCTTGCGAGGCAGGCGGTGGAATGACTACTTTGAATGTGGGAATTCCAGACCCGCACAGGACACGGCTTGTTTTTCCACCCTTCCCTGCTGCCCTTCCCCTCCCTCCATCTCCCGGTCCTCTTCCCATTTGCGGTAGATCTGCCTCCCTGTTGCCTCTTATCGAGCTTGTATTGGGCTCCTTATCCATACTGTGGCTTTCTCACGTGAGAGGAGCACATGGAATGTAAGCATGTGTGTCTCATTTACTCCACTTAACATTCTGGTCTCCAGGCGCTCCCACGTACCCACAGGTGGCTCAGGCGTGTCCTTCACGGCAGAGTAGTACTCCACCATGTGTAAACATCACTCTATCCAGTCACCCGCTGATGGACACAGAGGCCGTTTCCAAGATGTAACTGTTATGAATCGTGCCGCTACGAACATGGGTGTGCATGGGTCACTGCAACATGACGCCTCCAACTCCTACGGGAAAACACTTACACTCCCACCCACAGTGCGGCCTCTCCAGCATTTGCTTCTATTTGATTTCTTGGTGAGGGCCATTTTTTCTGCGACGAGATGAAATCCTAGTGTTGTTTTAACCTGCGTTTCTCTAGGGGCCAGTGCTGTTGGGCATGCTTCGTGTATTGGGTGCGTGTTTGTCCTTCTTCTGGGAACTGTCTCTTCCTTCCGGTTGCCTGTTTTTGAGTCTCTGCGTTTGGGGATCTGATGTTTTGTGTTCTTCGTATATTCTAGATATTTAGTCCTCCATCTGCGGAGCAGCTGGCAAAGACGTTCCCGTTCTGTGGGTCGCCTCTTCCCTCTGTTGGTGGTTTGCTTTGCTGTGCAGAAGCTGCTCGTTTGGACAGAGCCCGTCTGTTGGCTCTTCTGTAGTTTCTTGCACAATCGGGGCTCTGTTCCGAAAGTCCTTGCCTGTGCCTGTGACTTCAAGGGTTTCCCCTGTCTCATCTTCCAGCCGGCTCGGCTGGACGCGTGTGCTTTGAGAGCCCCCCCTTCCGTGTTATTCAGGCCGGTGAGGACAGAATTAGACTCGGATGTGGCCAGCAGCAGTGTCCCTGCGTCCCCACGTCCCCGGGGCACCAGTCACTGACCAGGGCGGGCCTCCCTCCCCGCCCCCAGCCCAGCCGGGACTTTCCACGCTGCCTGTACGTCAGAACATAACTCCTAGCCGTGACGCAGGGAGCCCGTCATGGAGATCATGGACGCCGTATGGATTTTAATTTCTCAAAATCTGAATTAGACTCTGCTTGTCCGGAAGAGCAGCTCCTCCCGGAAGCAGCAATCCGCCCATCCCGGGTCGGGTTTCGAGTTAGCCAACAGTGCCCTCTGGTGGCTCCGTGCAGCATTGCAGCCATCTGTGGAGTCTGAAAAGCCGAATTGTGCAAAGCTCTTCTGGACAAAGTTTAGGCGGCGATTGTGACGCGGGTCCTCTACACTAGGAGTCTGAGCAGGTGGCGCCTGTGTGCAGATGCCTGGTTCGGTAGCGGGCTTGCGGCAAAGGTAAGCCCAGCCCCGCCCCTGCAGCCCCAGGACCCTCCCCTCGCCCCAGCCCGCTGCGCAGCGGCTTCCGCGTGTCGCCGCCTCGGCCCAGGGCAGTTCCCCCTGCACCACTAGACCCACGTCTGGACCCAGTAACTGGGTTGCCCCCGATTAGAACACACGCACAGGGGTGAGTCGGAGAGTAGGAGCAGGGAGGAGGCCTCCGGGTGCAGCAATGGGCCTGCTCGCACTGTGGAGCCCCCTGCACCACTGTGAGGGACTCTGACCCCCGTCGCCCCGAGTCGCCCAGGACCCGTGACCTGGGCCGCTGCCCGATGGGGGTGGTTGGAGCCCTGAGGCGGGAAGAACCCAGGGTCCACTCAGCTCCTGCTAGATCTCCCAGCGAGGCCGTGGGTCCCGTACCCCGGAAGGGGCCGCCATCGAGCAAGAGAGCGCCTTTTCGGCCTGAGCTTCCGGGCAGGACTCCTGTGGGTCGGCCGCATAGAAAATAGAAACTGCGGTTTGCTGGGGGCCCCTCGGCCTAGGAAGACCCTCCTCTTGCTCTTGGCCTGAGACGCAGTGGACGGGGTGGGGAACGTCAGGAACTGCCGCTGTGAGGGCGCCCAGCCTTGCCTGCGCTTCCCACCCGCACGGCAGAGTGGCCTGCGCCGCCCCGGGTGTCCCTCTGCAGAACCCGAGGTGCGGCCCGGAGCGCAGCAAAGGCCTCGGCTCAGATTCACCGCGGAGAAGCACCGGCTCCCCGTCCAAACGGTGGGTCCATCCGAGGCCGCGAGGGGGCGCGGGAGCTCCGGCCGCGCCTTCCATCTACACCAGTCGTTGCTTGGATTCCTACCGGGAAACTACAAATTGGGGAAGAAAAGCGGCCAAGGAGCCCAGGGCCAGGGGCCCTGAGGCTGCAGGGGTGGAGAGAACGAATCGCCTTCCCTGAAGGTGCCTCCAAATCTCTCCACCTCCCACGCTCTCAAGAGACGGAAGGAAATCCTGTGTCTTAAAAGGAACACCGCAGTCCAGTCTGGGGGACTAAAGGACTGGGCATGTAGCTCAGTGTGAAGGCCCCGGGTTCAATCCCCGGTACTGCAAAGAAAAAAGGGGCGGTCATTGCAGCTCCGCTCCAAGGCTAAGACCCCCCTGCGGCACATGGCTGCTGTCTCCTGCAGCTGTGTCCCTTGGTTCCAGGTGACGCTGGTGGGGCCACCACGCTGCCCTAGGGGCAGTTACGACACTTCTGCTCCGCTGCCAGTGCCCTGCAGCTGGCTCACCTCCGGTTGCTTCCTGTGCCTCCCTTTAGTGCCTCAAATGGGCCCGCCCCAAACATCCGGGCCGTTCCTCCGCCCGTGTTCCCCTCGCCTCAGCTTCCAGCCTGGGTTCCAGAAACTCTAGCAGACCCGAGGCGGTAACACACCTTTGACCTCGCTGGGCCTTTGGGGTTCTAACGGGGCTGAGGGCCAGGGGAGGCACCTAGACCCTCTCCAGCCCCCACCTCCAACAACTGCAGAGCCTTATGCCAAACTCCCTGGGTCCCAGGTTCAAACAGGTTCTGACCCTTTCTCACTACGTCATCTTAGATGAGTTGTTGGCCAGGCTGTGACCCAGTTTACTCAACCGTACCACGGGGCTGTGGTTTGAGTGGCCCCATGGGCTAACGTTCAATCTCCACCGGGAGATGGAAACTGAACCAGCCATGGTGTTTAGAGGCAGAACCTTTGGGGTGATCGGGGCCAGATGAGGTCACCCGGGGGGCCATGACCAATCCTGCTTTATAACAGAGACCAGAGGAGACACACCTGTGTGCAACCTGCACCCTGGCCTGGCCAGCTAGGGACCGCCAGCCAGGCCCCAGACTGTACCCCTAGAACCTTGAGCCGAGTTCATTATAGCAACGCAAAACAGACCAGTGCACAGATGACGGTATCCACACACAGCCCCTGGCTTGCAGCAAACACAAACAAGTGCCAGCCTGAGTCCCCCTCCCCCCTCCCTCTTCCGCCCCCCCTCCTCTTCCTCCCTGCCACCATCTCTAACAGCTTCAGCACACACATAGTGCCGAGATGCTACTCCTTCTTAGAATGCATGAGGGAGGCGTGATCAAAATATACAGTGAATGTTTAAATTTTAAGAACTTATTACAGTAAAGGACACATCGCCATGAATCCCCCTAAAGATCCCCCCCCCCGCTTTAAACACACTTATCCCATTTTTCTTGCCACTTTCCACAGCTGTTATGGAGCCCTCTGATATACTTTGAGACATGATAAAAAACAGTGAACGTGGCTCACTTCAGGAACACATATGTCGTGAGCCGGGGACACAGAGCACTGTCCAGCAGTGCCTCAAAACTGAAAGAGCAGCGAGGTGGAGATGGGGCAGAGAGAAAGGAAGGACGCCAAGACAAGAGTCTGATCAAGGCGACGTTTATTACAGGCAAGCATCAGCCTTTTAAAGGAAAAGACCAAACTATTATGGGCTAGGATTACCATAGTAACCTCAACACCTGCTCCACTGGAACGAGGGTTCACACGGGAAAGAGAAATCAGGCTCAAGAAAAACAAATCAACAACACTTGCAACTAATAATCATGATTCCCACAATAGGTGGAGGAACTTAACAAAATGGAGTTACAACACCTGACTCCTACAGATAACGTCAGATCTTTAACAGGAAGCACCTGACTCCTACATATCTTTGGCTGTCTGAGTTTCTCCCGTGCAGGGGCAAAAACAAGTTTAACACATGCAGTCCTTAAAAAGGAACAAATGTTGACAAATGCTAATTAGGAACATCCTGACCACACATTGTGTCAATGCCTTGATTATAAAGAAAGAAGTTATCTTTCAAAAAGCCAGTGGGCCATGGCTGGCTTCCCACACACATATACTAAAAAAAAAAAAAAAATACACCAAGCACCATCGGACAGAAAACCTCAAAAGACATGACACTGCGTCCTCGTCCGCCTTATCCCCCTGGTCTGCACCACGTGACTTCTGGCTCTTCTTCAAAGGCAAAATAACCACGAAAGCGAAATGTCTTGACTATCCATTCAGGACATCAAGGCAGCCACAACAGCACAGCTGAAGACACTCAGGACAGATTACAGAGCTGCTGCAGAAAAGGGCAAGAACCACGGGATATGTGTGTTGCAAATGAAGGAGCATTCTGACGAGGATTACGGGTAATGGCTTTTACTGGAAACGTATTTTAAAATTTAAACATTCACCGTATTTTCCATCACACCTCATAGGTAGTGGAGGGAAGAAATGAGCAGCCTGGGTCCATTTCCAATCTCAGATGGACAGCACAATCCCAGGGGACAGAATGAGGGCAGGCAGAGCATCAGGAACCACACCACAATGTCCCCGTTTTGTCTTCCTGTTCACAGGTGTTAGGTCAGAGCCTAACCCTCCAAAGTCAGGAGCTGGTTCTCCTGCCTCCCTAGCTGAGCCCCCACTGCTTGATTATTACAGGGCTGGAACTACAGAGCATTTAACATGTCCCAAGTGATCCAGCCTGTGCCAGGCATAGCAGTGTAAGCCTGTAATCCCAGCACTCTGGGAGGCTGAGTCAGAAGGATTCCAATTTTGAGCCCAGCCTAGACAATTTAGCAAGACCATGTCAAAATTAAAAATAAAGTAAGGACTGGGGAAGTCCCTGGGTTCCAAGTTTGAGTCACTTGTAGGAAAATGGATTCTATAGGGAATGGAAAATGGCTCGTTACCAGAACCCGTGCCATGGGTCCTGGTCTCCTGTGAGCCACGACAGCACAAGGCTAAGAAGAAAGACAGGAAACGAGACAGGAAAGCCTGGGTCTCGGGCCTGGTCAGTGCTGCTCTACACAGCAAAGGCGAAGGAACCCTGGCTTCCCACTACTCGTACGGAGCATCAGATGACACAGGGGCAGCAATAATCCTAAATTGATGAGGATCTTATCGTCAGAGGTTTCAGGTGACTTGGAGGGTGGCGGTAATCCCATGACTGTAAAGATCTTAATTCTGCTGAGGATCTTAGGTCGATGAGAAGTTTATGTGGATGAGGTCAGTAAGATGAGCAAAACGTTCTTACAACAGTAGGTGGGATGAGTTAGGCTAGGGAACGTGTCCCTCCCCAGGTGAAACCTTTCTTTTTGTGTTACTACTTGGTTCTCAAAGAACCAGGACGTCTTCAGCTGATGTAATCCTTGAGCATCGATCACAGCATAATGGGACCACTGAGGCCTCAGCTGTGACCTGAGGCAAAATGGAGTTCGGTTTTGGCATGCCACAGGGAGCCACAGGCAAGTAGACTCGGCCTCAGACAGCCCTAACCATAATTTAATTGTGAAAGGATTTTTCCCCCCAAATTATGTAGAATGGCTCCTGGCAGGATTTGCCTTGAAACCATGCGGCTAAGTAAAATGAATCAGACACAGGAAATATTGCATGGTTTCTCTAATATGAGAGACCCAAAGTATAAACAATTTCAGGATCGGAAGAAAGGTAGGTGAGAGGAGAGGCAGAAATCAATCTTGCAGGAACATAAAAAGGTGGGAGTTGGAAGGGAAGATGCAATATGAACTTGTACCAATTCCTCACCGTGGATGCATTTATTACCTTATGTACTGCAAATGTGCACTACTAAGAAATAACAGAAAAAGAAAAGCCACAGTCAGGTCAGCGGGCAGTTCATTTTCTTTATTTTTTTTTTCCACAAGCTTTGAATTCAGAAGAGCCACAAGTCAGTTATTAAGTAAAAATGGGGGTGATTACAAAGGAAAACTGTACAAAACGTTAAAAATCTGAGTGCCCCATCCACCTCCATGGAGGGGACAGGGCAGGGCACCTGGGGCAGCTGTCCCCCCACCGTCCTCAGCCTGAACAGGGTTGGGAGTCCCCTGTGAACCCGGCCCGGCCAGAAGCCCAGAGCTCCCTGGACGGACACACAGAGCAGAACGACGTCGGCAAGTGGGGTGTCACAGAGACGGGGTCCTGACACAGGACGCGGCGGTGTTTCTTTGAGACCAAGCGGAAGGGGTCCCTGCCATTGAGAATTCACAGATCTCG